ACAGAACTGCCAGAAATAGTCATTCCAGTCGCCTCCCTTGTCTTTGCCGGCAGTACTATCTGCCTGTACTACTAGCCGCTGTGCGGCTGCTGTCATGGCCCGAGAGATGAGACCCTAGGCAGAGCGGGACAAGTGAGTTCCATCAGCGGTCGATGAACTTTCATCGACGGGTGTCAAAAGAAGATTTGCGTTGCCTGCCTTGAGCACAATTTCCGGCCATTGCTCTATGGTGAACTTTTTGTCTGATGAAGAAACCCAAGTAGAGATATCGCTTTAAGCAGCTGAAGCTGAATAGCTGCTCTGAGCATGCTCAAGCGGGCCGATGACCTACGTCTGTTTCTCTTTTAGGGGCAGGGGCTGTTGCTCAAACAAACAATAGAAGGAGCAAAAGGGTATGTACTTACGTCCCAAACAGACCCAGCAAAAGGAGTAGTGGCATTTTGAGCATTGCTGAAATTGAAAAACAAAAAATAACCTCAGTTCCATGTCTGTATAAGAATAAAAACATACGTCCAGCTGAAATAAGCAGACTAAACTCTTGAAAATACGCAGGGGAAATAGAGAGGGAAGGGGAAGCTGCATCGAATATCGCAATACGACGCACCATGTGATTGCAGCCACCATTTTTTTCTATACATACTCCACACTGGGGACAGTCCTTAGTGTGCGCGGCCATGTAGGTGGCGGTTCCCGAGTCGTCACGGCACTTTTGCAGCCACCGTTTAATTGTCTCACAGTCTGTGGGAGCGTGATACTCCATGCCACAGGCGAAGCAGAAGTCAGTGCCACAGGTTTCACAGTGGACCCTTCTGGCACGAGGTTCTTCCAGCGCGTAGACAACGCTGGAGCAGCGTGAGTTAGTGCATGGCCGGAGTCTTGGGTGAGCCTAGAGACGCGCGAAATAAACAGTCTACTTAATAGTGGATAAGTAGGCATTTAAGTATTGTGATTATTTATACTATTTGGGTCAGATAGTCTGGAAACATCGCAAGGTGTATAAGCGCGTTAGAACAAACCGCAGTTTCACGGGGAATACAACACCCTTTATGAGCAAGTCCATTTACCGCATGGGCAGGTCAGAAAAAAACCTAATAAGACAAAAAGGCATTCCCGAATGAATGACAAGTTTCGCGTTCCAGGTATTTGCATAGACAAGGAATAAGTGTCGATCAATTGGTTTATTGCCCTGAGCTTTCGAAGTCTTACAGGAATCCATCTTCAGATTAGCGTACACCACTATAATTGCCCCCCATCCCTCTTGGTTGCTGTTTCTAACACCTTGACCACCTGATGACTTCTGATAGTTGATTAGCCTATGGCCACTATAATTACCCTCCTTTTGGTTGCTACTTCTCGTCTCTGAAGATGGACTCCTGTAAGACTTCCAAAGCTCAGGACAATAAACTAATTGATCCGGTGCTCGATACGTCTTCTTCCTTGCCTATGAAAAAGGCATTCTCCCAAGTTACTACTGAAGACTACAGGTAATGGATATCCGGAGCTCAATTGATATGTACTTTCAAAGCATTCTGCAGCTAACTGCACCAACTCATCTTACTCGAATGTTATGTGCTTATTTAAAAGCAGATTTGATTATATTTTTCCCATTAATCGTCAATAAAACTACCTAATGAACGAAAGGAAAGGCAATTAGTCTGGAATAATGTTAAGGTTGGACAAACTTCTTTTTTATCTCTGTGGAAATCAGTACTGACTTCAGTATCTCCAGGATATTTTGGTTAGCAGCAAATTTATTCGTATGAACACCAGACTAGAGCCCATTATTTTCTTGAAATGTGTTTAGGTCTATTGTGAGCTAACTAAAAGCGACAGTAATAAAAAGGTGATTCCCAGGCGGTATATCAAAGGAGAGGCATTCAGCCCGAGGGATATTTGGCTGCCCCGTTGTTTCAAGCCAGTTAGCCGCCTTCAAAGGCTGGTGAGTCCTGTGCAAAACTTTCATTATACGGCATTTGGATTGCATGTAAATTTTGCCCGCGACGTAGAACATCAATGCCAACTGTGAGTGGGGATCAGGTACCTCTTTTTTCGCGTCCGTCCTCTTTTAGCACAGTTATAATCGGCGGTTCGGACAGGCTCACGTCCTGCCCATTTCTTTTCCGAGATG